CTCTTTATACCAATTCATAACTTGCATATAATCTCTAGACGCAGTTTATAACATTGGGCTTGTGAACTAGCATGTAACGAGTTCAAACTTCACTGGAGACCGGGTTCTTGCTGCCCTGTGCCAGACTTAGCTATTTTTAGTAAATAACTACCTACGGTGAGTAAATGAGAAGATAGACAATGATCGTGAGAAAAAGACATATGATCTAAGAAAAAAAGAAAAACATATGAGAAGGCGTTTAGACTATTTCTCATAATTGGAAAATGTTTTTGTTTTTTGTTTTTAAAAAAAATGGCATTGCTTAGTTATTGATCCGATTCTTAACGCAAATCCTTATCTTGATATCGGTTATCATATTTTAAGTTACAGCAAAATATTCCTCAGATAAAAGTGTACGTTGCTTCTCGCCCATTCTCCAGTGCGTACTCTTAAAAGAATCTACCTTTCTTTAATGACTGACTGTCGCAAGTAATAATCAATATTGCTTTGGCAAGCATTGGTAAAAGAAACAGCGCGTGTCTTGCGACTAACGAAATTAAATCCTCAATGAAGAGAAAAAATTAGCACATCAAAACCGAATTTCGCAAATATTTCGCCACAGTCAATTTCAAATACATTTCGGTATTAATTCTAAAGTAATTTTTTCCATCATTTTCTTACACTTTAACGCATTCGCGTTCAACATCTCCTCGAACCGCATAGTTTCCGACGAGACTGGATTATATTATGGGGATTTTGGGACATGGACAATTCCTTTGACAATTTAGTCCCAGAAATGTAACAGAAAAGGATCGAACCTTTGGTCATATTAGAAATCTTTTCTTAGCCTGCTAAGCGACAAACAGTATTATTTTTACACTTCTAGATCCACTGCTGATGTTTGAACTATAATCAGGATTAGAATATGTGAAGCGCTTGATAATAAACATATTTCGAGAGCGAACGCCTTATATATCTCGAAGGCATTTAACAAAATGTGGCAGAGAGGGTTAATTCACAAACTCACTAGCTATTAGATCACTAGAATAGTCTTCTCAGTTGTCAAGTCTTTCCTATCATTTAGGTTTATGGAGATAATTGTCAATGGCAAATCGTCTGAAGCATATGAAGGTCGATGTTAATGGCCAGTCCTCTGAGGCACTTGAGATCAATGCTGGCGTCTGCCAAAGCTCTCACCTTGATCCTACCATCTTTCTGCTTTATATTAAAGATTTGCCTAAGACCATGCTGCGACCCGTTGATAGATGATACCACGTTATGTGGCTGCAACTCTAACTATTTGGATCATCTGTTCCTGATACGTGCCTAACCTAGCTAAAAAGGGGTAAAGATTGGCTTATAACATTCAATAGCATCAAAACAAAGCTAGTAATCTTTCATCATCAGGGAGCACATTCTAAATTTACTCTAGTCTGGATATATAGACCTACAATCAATGAAGCTTCTTGACGTGAACGCCTCTTGGGTTTAAACCTCTCTCAAAACCTCAAATGGAACTCGTATATTTGTGCCACCGCCAAAGAGGATGAAACAATGGCCGTTTTTTTTGTAACGCTCCAGAAAATACCTAACTCCTGTTGGTATGCTCTAACTTTACAAGAGTCTGATCAGACCAGCAATGGAGTTTTATTGCCATATCTGGACTGGTACAACCCAGTCCTAACTGTCGAGTCATGAGAATGTTCAAAAGCACTTAAGCGCTTCTTTGAGTGATGAATTAGTCTCCGCTTAGCGATCCCTATCTCACAGACAAAAAGTTACTAGCATCTCACTACTCTATCGTTATTGCTATGGCAAACGTTCTTATGAGTTATATTCCTTAGACCCACCAGTTCAGACTTTCACAGCTAAAACCCGTTATGCAATGCTCACTTTGGCATATACTCTTTCTTTGCTAAAGAGTAATTTCTATTCAGGCAGCGGTCTCCTTTGAATTGTTACTTCGTGGAACGGATTCTCGAGAGGATGCACTGCCTGCTGCATCCTTCTTCCTCCTTAACAACAATTCAACTCGGTAATGCCTTACCTTGCGTGGTCCATGGGTTTGTATTGGATGACCGAAAGGTAAAACAAAATTCACGTATAAGGTGTCCAGTAAGAAAAAAAAACGGTAAATTCAGAAAGACGTGAGACAACCATTGAAAACTGGTGCCGACTGATGAGACTGAAAAATTCATGAAAGATTTCTGCAGATATCGTAATTCCGCACGTCAGATGTTCTTCTTTGAAAAGTACGATGGCTATAAGGGGGGTTGAGGAAAGAATAAAAGACAAACGGGATTCAAGAAGACAGAAGATAGCGATTGATGTTTCATTTAAATTTTTGAAGATTGTGGTTATCAGGGAAGTAAGTGAACAGAAAGGAGTTCCAAATACATGACGCTCCAAATCAATGAGTTTTTTTAACCATACGAGAACAGAACGAAACATCAAAGTTGCCTACAAATAATCTTTAAATGACGAGTCACAAGATCGAGCAGCAATTAATCAATCATAAAAGAACTAATCGGAGTTAAGTAAATACGTGAGAGTCGAATGATTATTCAAGGTTATGAATATTCAAGAAACTTATTCAAGGTCAATTATTCGTTAATGTTATTCAAGGTCAGCTATTCAAGATTAATTGTTCCTGAAAACTGATAGTAAATTTGCCGTTTTTCTTTTTTTTTTTTTTTTTACAAGGCACACTTTAGTATTTATTGTTTCTCGCTAATAATAGTCACCTTAATAGTAGTATTATTAGCGGTACTTTTCTCACACTTCTCGTTTGTGGAATTCTATTCCGGCTTCTTACTTTCCAGTTAACCTTGATCTTCAAAAATGTAGATGCATTATCAATCGTTATCTTCTGTCTTCCCATTTCCTGTTCTGTCTTGCGTCTTAGTGCTTTTATTATCTTGCTTCAGCTGAAATCATTAAAATAGTACTAGTCGAGGTAGCAGTAGTAGTAGTAGTAGCTGCATTACTAATAATTATAGAAATAGTAGTAGTTAATTTAGTTTTGCTATGAGCTATTTCCGTTATCAATGTTCTGATAAAACGAAGAAAAGTTCAATCAGTAATGGATTAGCTTAAAATTCCTTTTGTATCTATTCTCGTTTAGGGTTGAATTCAGAAAATACAACGTAAATGACGTAAAAAATCAAAGGGCAGACATTTTGTATATTTGTATTTGTATATTAAAGGAAGCGGTTTGTCATCAGTGCCGATCGAGAAATTCTGACTTTAAAAAAAAGTAAAAAAAAAAAAAAAATCCATACAGAGAAAATCAAAGGTTGGTTAATGTAACGCTTTCAAAATATCTCTTTTAAACGATATTTATGTATTTCAACTAATAGCAAACCTTGTAAGGAATGACTTCCTGGCGCCGTCATCCCGGTCGTTAAAATGTATTTCGTTTCTTTTTACCGCATAACTGATGACCGCCAGTTTTTATGACCACTTCTTGGGCTCACGTTGTCAATTGACTTGAAGTGTAACGACTACATTGAATCAAGTGCTGCATCTACTGCAAGGAAAGTTGGGTCACTGTGACGTGCCAGAAGGTTTTTTTCGTCAGATTACATCTTTTACATTTTCAAATCTACCATTCGTTCGTGCATTGAATATTGTTGGCATATTTGGTCTGGTGCTCCTGCTAATCATCTAGAGTTTCTTGACAAAATCCAAAAAAGGATCTACAGTTTAATCGATCCTGCCTTGGCATCTCGGCTTCTGTCACTTTCTCACCGACATGACGTGGCTTCCTTTTGTCTTTACTACAAATATTTTCATGGTAACTCCATGAATTTAAGCGTGCTACTAGATTGGCATCTAGGTCCCACGTGTTTACTGTTGAAATAGCTGAATGCAATCCCTACTTCTACTTCAACAGTTTCTTTTCTCGCACTTTCCTTCTGTGGAACTCCTTTCTGTTCACTTACTTCCCTGATAACTACAATCTTCAAAAATTTAAATGAAACATCAATCGCTATCTTCTGTCTTCTTGAATCCCGTTTATATTTTATCCTTTCCTCACCCCCCTCTTATACTCATCTTTTCTCTCACTTTCATTATCTGTAACCCCCTACGTACTAGTGGCATTTCCGCCATGATGCTTGGGGTGAAATAAATAATTTTTTTTTTTTCGCATGCTAGCTAATGGAGCGCTATATCACCTATATTTTAGTATTTTAGTTTTATGCTTTTTTAATTTCCGTAATTTCCCGTGTATAATACGCATTTTTTTCTAAAAAATAAGATGCACAGCTACAAAAAATCTTTAAAAATTTTTAGTTTCATAGATCGATTGCAATTGCGAATTGACTACAAACATACGACAATTTGACACTAACATTCGGCGATTGCGACCCCATAAGGATGTCAAATAAAACCATATGTACTTAACAATAATTGCAAATGTAAAATAAAATAAGATTTATCATAAAACTAAATTAGAATAATGTTCTATGTTTAAAACCACTTTTGTAAGAGTTGAAAACTCTGGCCGTAATGGCATTGGAGAGGTACAATTTATAGGGTTTGATTACTATACAAGTGGTGCGTATTATGCATGAGTAGAAGCATTTTCCCACACTCTCAGCACAATTTTAGGGGTGTGTATTATGGATGAAGGCGTATTATACATGGGGAATTACAGTAGATAGCAATCTATTTACTTGTGATATATTCAGTTCCGTTGTTTCACCAAAATGGATCATTTCAAATAATGGCTGGTTGATTAGTTTTCTACTTTTAGTTAACTCTTTGAAAGTTTTTTAAAACCAGAAAATATTTTTAGATTGTAAGATTTTTTGTTTTGGTTTTGGTGAGAGATATTGTTTTTGTAATAAAAGTCTTACTAATTAACCGATAGATGGGGTGGGGGTAGAAGAGGTTAATTCATACCGTTCCGAAGGGTATTCGCGCTTTAAGTGGATATAACGAACCGGACGAGAATTGGAACTCGTCTCTCCAACTTACGATTCCGTTACACCGCACACATCCAAGCTTAGATAATCTGGCATTTCCGAGCGGTCACCTATCTAGATACTGACCAGGCTCGACGTTGCTTAACTTCGGAGATCGTACGGGAACTGGTGTTTCAACGTGACGTGGCTGTAAGGCCGTATTTCAAAAGTCATCAAATACTTGGTAAAATGACATGATTATAGGAAAATCTCGTGACCACCAAAGGACACGTCGGCAAGATATAGATCAAAACACTAGTAATTATTCTCTTTACGATCTCTGTGTAAGTTTACTCTTCCCCGATTTTTGATCGCTCAGTGTTACGGCGCAACATTGGGTGACGTATAAATGAGTGCTGTTTGAGGTGGTCAGACGATTTAAATTAAGAAAAACCTTGCCTTTATTGAAAAATGTTTTTTCCCCCGCGTCTAAATAAAACGAACGCTGAATCATAACAATGGAGATTTGTGCTGTTCTATTTCTAGTATTACATCTGCCTACAACAGAGGATCACAGGCGCTTACACAAGCTGCTATGCTGATACTTAGCATTGTTTGTAAACACATCACCCTTAAATGCAATTCTTTATGTATTTTTTCTTCAGCGCTTCTTCTTCTATGTGCCCTCTAACTTCAGAACGTAGGCGATCACGGCCCTCCACATTTCCGCAGCACTTAGTAAGTTTTCTCACTTTGTTATCTCAGACCCTGTTCTGTCGTCCATCTAGTCAAGTTCGTTAGGTAAGTCATGCGTAGGTTTCCATATGTCTCTCTTGACCTCAATATGTCCTGTGGATATCAAATACTCCTAGCCTTCTTTAACCCATTATGTGCCCTAGTTATGTCAACTGTCTCTTTCTTATTCTAAGTGTCTTTTGTCTTTTAATTTTCCCTAACACTTCGTCGTTGCTCACATGTTCAGGCCATGGTATTCTCTGTATCTTTCTGTAGAACAACATTTATGTTGCCTCAAGACTTTTCTTCCTCTGTGATGAGATTATACAACTATATAGGAAAACCAATATTACATAACAACTCAGTACTCATTTCTTTGTGTCAAATTGAATTTTCCTGTTTCTTAATAGTTTGCTTAGCTTTAAAAGGCATATTTCACTATTTCAATGCCTCTTCGGATTTCGGTGTCGCATTTTCCATCCTCTGTTAAATCACTTTGCACTTGCTTGTATTCAATTCGTATTTATCCTCTTTTTTCTCTCTACCATATATTGTCTTTTTACAATTAATCTTTAGTCCTTAAGTCTCAGTTCCTCTAATAGCTCCAAAAACTGGAATTAATTATAATTTTTTTAACCTTAAACTCCTCCTTAGAGTAGCGATAAGCTTGCCACATTGCATCTATGAGGAAGAGGTTGTGAGGTGGAAAATATGTCATCCCCCACAAGGCTGAGTAAATGATTTTGAACTTTGTCAAGACTGTTACATTCTCCCTCCTCTTATAGTCATTTTACACACTTCTTTTACTAACCGTCTTCTATGAGTCATTCCTGGACCCTTTGTTGTGTTTTAGAGAAGAGAAAAATGTGAATTACATTCATTATGCAATTGCAAAAGAAGAAAGATATAAAAAGTAAAGATGAGAAAAAATACTGCATTCTTAAAAATTCGATATAATGGAAAAGTTCTAGCCTTTTTCTATTGAACACATTTTGAATAGAAATGGTTGCAATTGGAATTTGTAATGTCAAGATATTGCATCAATGCAGAAAGCTCAATGAAAAATGTAAAAAACGATGGAATGACAGAAGAACAATATTTCAAGAGTATTTAAAAGATGGAAGGAGAATGAGGCTTATTTAAACGATCACAGAATCTTTCATTCACGAAGACGAAAGGCCCTAAGAGATGTTACTTTAATATTAGAAAAAAAAAACGTTTTTCCATGTACTAGCAACAAGGAGGAATCTAGTAAATCTGAACAGTTTGATATTTATTAGGATTATCTAATTTATGTGACACATTATGAGAATAAATGGTTTGTAAAAAAATACTAGATTGGCGGCAAAGTTTCGTCATTTTACAGTTGAAATGGCTAGATGTAACCTTAATTTCTATGCTAATAGTTTATTCTACTGTAATTCTCATTTATGGAACTCACTTCCGACTTTGATCTAAAAATTAATTGTAATGTCAATCGCTACCTTCTTAAATCCTGTTCTTTTATTGTTCTATTTTCTTAATAATGTCTTTTTTTCCATATACATCTTGTATTTTAGTCGCTAGTTTGGCAGCGAGTGATTAAAAAAACAAATCAGCACTCATACGGGAGATGGCAGAGGAAAACAATAGGAAATCCACCTGATGCGTCTGTTCGAATGAATGTCAGAGCAAGAAGAAAGAGGGACAATAAAGTGTCAAACATTCTCACAGCTACAAGAGACAGCAAGTTGTGGGCAGCGATGATCGCTTATCTCCTAAAAGTGATACAGTATACACTGCGTGCCAAATTATTATCAAGATAAATTTTTTTCTAATATTTCAAAAAACCGTCGAATCAATTCACACACAATTTTCACACAATGTTGGCAACACTGACCTGCGCAAACATTGAAATTTTCATACTGATCTGCGCAATGTAAACAAACTGACGCCATATTTGTTATCAGCGCAGTGAAAATTTTGTGTGAATTGATTGGACGGTTTTTGAAATATTATAAAAAAAGTTATCACGATAATAATTTGGCACGCAGTGTATAGAAGAAGATACGCGCTTACCACAGAAAATGGCCAATCTCAGAACATGACGCAAGTAATCCGTTATCATTAGCGACCTAAATGCAACGTTTCTGTTCCTTTATTCTCCTCTCTCTTAACTAATGATTTCTTACTTCTCATATTTACTCACAATCAGTAACTCCTTGCGTTTTAGTGACTTTATTGCCTTGCGTGTGATGAAATGGTTATTAAAAACATGGAAAATATTACAAGTCGACACATTAAGTATGAGTTACCAATAAAACTAATGAGATGTAAAGATTTCTATTTTGGAAACTAAACTCTCAGTAAATGGATTTGTTTTGACGGCAGAAGTTTCAAGTCAGAAGATCCAGCGGACACGAGGTGGGAATTTGTTTTTCCTGTTGCATATTATGGAAAAATGTGTCTGTCCGAATGAAGGTCAAAGCGGGAACAAATAGTGACTATAAAGTGTCAAACGTTCTGAGCTGCAGATGACAGGAAGTTGTACGAAGCCATGATCGCTTACGCCCTAAAGTGATACCGTATATAAAAGAATATATGCGCTTACTCCAGAAACTGTTCAGTCTCAGATCAAACTGCAAGTAAGCTGTACATCATTGGGAAGAAGAGATTTGAACATTGAACGCACCGGGAAATATCAAATTGTATCGCTGAAATGAGACAAGGCTTTCTTCAGGAACAGAGATATTTTGACAAAACCGCAAAATATATAAGAACAAAATGTAATATGTTATAAAGAGTAGAGTTGCAATGACAAAAGTTATATATATATACTAGCAGTAGAGCCCGGCGTTGCCCGGGGATGTAACAGTAAGAGATAGATCAACCATCATAAAGACTGAAAAATAAAATTGACAAAGATTATTGTTTAAGGTTGACGGACACGCATGTCTTAATTAGTTTTGTTTTTGTTTTTTTTTTTTGTTTTTTTGTTTTAACGAATTGGTCAAACTCAAACAAAAACATTGTTTTCAATCGTTATGAGTCTATCGATTGATTAGAATTTTATTATAAACAATTGTCTTGTAAATGGAATTTTTAAAGCATTCTGGATGTAAAACTAAAGAAAAAAGTGTGCAAGACAATAAAAAACACTACCTGCCAAAAAAAAAAGTGAAGTTTTGTTGAAATCGGTTGAAAAATGTAGGAAATCCGATCCCATATATAAACGAACACACAAACAACCCGGGTTTTATAACTCGATATGAGTTGTTCCCCTTTCATTCTGGCGACTTAATCGTGTTTTCAAATTGATTTCGTGCAAAAACAATTGTGTTTTTCCAGTTTTTGGCGCTGTCAGAACCACCGCAAGGTAATTTTACGCAGTCCTGTGAAGTTTTGCTGAAATCAGTTGAAAAATGTAGGAAATCCGATCCAATATATAAACGTACAGACACACACACACACACACAATCTGCGTTTTATAATAAGTAAGATTCCATTACAATTACATAAAGAGAACGAGGAAATATGTTAAATAGTACACAGCGAATTGGCAACGGGTAACCAACACTTGCTTTGAAGAACATCCAAGACGCTTATGGACTTGGAAAAGCCTGGAACAAACTATCAAGAACGACTTAATCATGAGACAATGATTATATCTAAATGCTGACTGCTGGAATAATCAACTCCCAGTAAATGTCAAATAAGAATAAAATTACCAAAATTAAAGAAATACGAAATAATGCCAATACTGCAATAAAAAAAAAATCCCATATGCAAACAAGCATACGACTTCTCGGTAAAAAGTAAGTATAAAAAATTGAGAGGCATATCGAAACTTCAAGTTGAACGTCTTAAAAAATCACTTATGACAACAGCAAAAGAAGTCACTCCGATGAAAAGAATATTTTATAAGTGAAATTTGCCAACTGAGAAAAAGAGTAGATAATGCCAAGAAACAGCAAAGAGTAGATATTTACTTGACCCCCCACTGAGTCAGGTTGTGACACAAGGTCAGTTTTTAACGTGGGGACCCGAGTGTTTTCACTCGGCCGCTGGTCTAAGTTGGTCTTAGCTGGTCATAGCTTGTTCATGCTGGTCTAAGCTAATTATAGCTGGTCTTGGCTTGTCATAGCTTGTCCAGTCCCGAGCCGGTCCAAGCTAATCGTAGCCGTGATACTACCAGCACAGGGTTGAATCACTGCATCAAGTAAGTATCAACAGCAAAGAGTATGTCAGAATTCGCAAGATACACAAGTGAAAATGAAGTCGATCTTGAACGGTATGGCATAAAATGGGCTTCCGGAAAACCATTTACACCCTTTTTATACTCACCATTTTTTTCCTAGTCGTTAGGGTTTGTTCCGGCAATCCCGTGGGTGGCACAAAACTGGTTTCAGGAGCACTCTTCTGACTTCTAAATGCTTCATTGACTTTCGCGCTCACCTCATTGTGGATGTGTCGTACAGGTTGCACAC